CAGCTTAAAGTTGCCAAGGTTGAGAAACACTTAAGATTTATATGAAGAAAATATATATTTAGAGAACCCACCCCGACATGTGAATTGATTTCTATTGACTTTTACTATTAGGCCAGAAGATAGTTTCCCTTCCTTCTTCTGTATGAAGCTCCTAGATTTTAGCTATTTCTGGGAAGATTTATCTCAATTACCTTCTTTTAAAGACACCAGCAAAACACAGGGCAAATCTTCTCCACAGTAGTACCATTCCTGGAGGCAAAGACCACACGTCCTGCAATTTTGCAGAAACTCTTTATGCAACATGGTACATGGATAGAGTATTTCTCTTTCAAGAATATATTCTAGTCCTTAGGTTTAAAAATGTGGGGCAAATGCTTACCGAAACGTTAACTACTAGATGTAGCTAAGTAACAGTTGGGGATGGTGTGTAATATCCTTTAGCAGTTACGCCTAGCACTAACGTTTTTTCAAATGCAATTAACTTGAATTTTCTGCAAGTGGCACCGGTGTTCCTTAGCAGTAGAACCTGGATTGGCTGGGTGAAATATCTACACATGAGTAAGATTACGTAAAATCTTCCCTAGACAGAACTGTAAAATCACCTCTGTGTTAATTGAAGGGTTTCGGTGTAAAGCAAAAATATCCATTTTCATTTGGGGATCTGCCCGCAATATATCTAAGGTGGTATGGATGCTTGTGAAGCAGTGTGTGACACAAGAAATTAAATCCCCAGGAAACTTCAGGTTGAACTCTGGGAATGTCACAATTTATGACACAGTGAATAGTTTAGGAACAACCTTAATAATGAGTACAAAGGCTTCGTTCTGCCCCGCACACACACACACCTCCGAAAATGAAAATCAGTGGTTCAATCTTTTATCACAACTTCATACTTATTATATGAAGTGTCTTTATTAAGACTCATTTTGCTATACATTATTTCCCTAGCAGGACTGTGGAGCACACTTTGCAGTTGGTGAAGTCAAAATAGCAGTCTGATCAAAAACACTCCCATGTACAATAAAGTTGAGAGCATGTTCTGGTTTTGCTATAAGGCTCAATGCCAAACTGTGCAACATACAATAAAAAATTCAATATGTTGTGCTTTTAAATAGTTTAGGACAGACTAAATTCTCATTTCATATGAAAACCTATGTGCAGTGTATATTTACAGTACGTAGATGGTATTATAATACATTTATTATGAATGATGTGTTTTAAACTCCTCATATGTTTGTGTCCTTCCTGACAATCTGTCTCAGGTCTGGGAGGGTCTTTCAGCAGCTTCTAGTCAAGGAGACGTTTATGGTATTTCTGTACTATTCTTCTTTGTCCCTATTTTCCTGACAAGCCACTGAGGTCATTAGGTTGAAAGACAAGTAGGTGGCTCACAGCCTCTGTCCTCCACGTGCTGTCCACCTGTCACACCTCTAGTGTGCACCAGCAGCCTTGACCAACCCAGTGTTCACCAACCTCTGTGCTGGCTGGAAACGAGATGTGGCCAAACACATCTGAGGGCTCAACACTGGACAAGGCTATATACAAGAATCACTTTAAATGTTGCTCTTTCATGTCAACAGCTGACTTATAAAAGGCTTCTGCTGACTTTAGTTTATGTTCTACAGTAGTTTTATCCTGCTACAAATGGACATTTTCCCCCTCAGCAAACCCACGTTGGGGTCCGCTTGATAACAGTGTTGTTTCAATAACCAAACAGACTATGGATGTCTTGATGAAGCTTCTTCTCCTGGGGACAAGGGAACAATATGCACAATTGCCTTGTCCTCCTGTGGTCCTCCAACAGCATCCAGGACTGCGCCTCTGGGAAGAACCCAGCAGCATCTCTGAAATGGTATCTCTTCGCTGTGAATTCTTGGACTTCTGCCAGCCCTTGTCAGAAGGAAGAATCTTCAGCTATAGCATCAATCATATGCAGGAGATCCTGGAACGTGGGGCGTTCTTCTGGTTTCTAGAAATTGAAAAGTTTTAAAGAGGCTCTAATAATTGATAATTCTTTTTCTTTTATGATACGGCAGATCAACCTGAAAGGGTATTTTTCTTCATAAACTTAGCTGACTGCTTAAACAAGTCACAAGTACTGGAAGAAGCCATTTAAAACAAAGTTTTGATGACTAAAAACCAAAAGTTAATATATTACTGCATAGGTTGTGGGGATGACAGTCCACTTCATCCAACCCATGAAACGGACAATGATCCCCAACATTTTACACAATTATAAATTTGTTAGTCTTTAAGATACCATGAGTTCCTTGCTGTCTTGCTGCAAAAGCCTAACTGTCATACTTTGGGAATACATTTCCATAAAGCATTCTGGTGGCAAAGAGGTCCGAAGAACTAAGCAAGATGAATCATTTTTCATTCAGCGTTGCTTGAACCTAATCTTCTGACATTCACCTCTGAAGTATAGGTGTCATAAGTACACGGCAGTTTTACTAACAGTGAGAGAAAATTTCGCGTTGTTAGTATTTCGTTTCTGCATTCACTTGACCCAAATACTTCTACCTAATGCCTTTCTTGCAGATAGAACTAACATAGTAAGATCACCTCTTGGCACTGTAAGACTTTATTACCAGTTGCTAACATTTTTCTGACTTACAAAATTGCTAATTGTTATGATTAAAAACCGTCCAATTTCCACTCTTAAGTCTACTTGATTTCTCTTTTCAGACTGCATTCTCTTTACTAGCCCTGAATAGCAGATACGGGGCAAAGGCATGGGGTGAGGGATACTATTCATACGCCCACAAAAACGGGAGGAACAGACAGCGCTATTGCATTGATACATACTCTGGCAGTTTTCATTCAGTGGATTGGCAGGGTGCGAAGAATGGTAGTGCCTACACTGGGCCGCTGTTCATTCCATAATACAGTAATAAGGCTAAAGCAAGTGACGCACAACAGAACTGATGCAACTGAAACGCAGCGCAGCATACCTCATGCCAGCACATCTTCATCACATCATAAACATTCTTAGAAGCTAACTTGGGCCGAAATAGACGGTGTCCTTGAGTAATCATAGTCACTACTTCATAGTTTGTGTTTGTCTCAAAGGGCATTTTCCCTTCTGTAAACACTTCCCACATGAGAACGCCTGCAAAATCAGAGAGATGAGTCAAAGTTCTGAACTGAGACATTAAAGATTTATTCTCCAGAATGGCAAGTACAAATATGTTAATAGAAAATCAATCCTAATCAACTAAATAATTACCTCGCCTAAGATTATTTAGTCTATCAGCAATGGAATGATTAGACTAATTCATATGAAAGAGGTCTGAAAAGTAGAACTAGGCATTAGGGCTGTTCAGAAGAGGTGCTTCATACTCCTCCGCTATTAATTAAAGCAGCTACATCTTTTTTCACACTTCTGCAGCCTAAAACAAAAGTAGCTGCTGTTTTAAAGAATCGCTTTAATGAGTTGACTCCTTAAAGGAATTCTCTTAAGCTGTAACAAAACAGTTGTCTTATTAAAGCAATTCTCAAACTGGCAGCATTATTTTTCAGACTACAAAAGATGCAGCTGCTTTGATGAATAGCAAAGAAAGTATGTGTTCGCAGAAGGTATGCAGCAATACTTCTTCTGAATTATTCTTGAAGTGTACACAGCCCTACTAGGCACAGCACACTAAATAACATTACAGCAAAATCTGAGGTCCTGTTACACACACCATCTTTGTGTGTGTGTGTGTGTGTGTGTAATGCCAATATTTCAAAATCAGTAAACCATTACAGCACAAGGTTATATAGTTACAGATCTCCATGAAAAAAAGTGATTAACATTATATAAAATTATATTAAAACTAATGTACGTCAAAACAATCAGAACAGCTAACCAGAAATGTGCATTGCAATGTATTTTATTTGCACTATTTGCTAAATAATCAAGATAAATCTATTTCCTTAAAAGTTGCAAAAT